AGATAGGCAGGTGAGATGAGTTTACAAAAAATTCTCCCTCTCCTCACTTATCTCGTGGGGATCCTCTACTGGACCTGGAGACGAAAGCTCTCTACGCTCCATATTTGGAACTTCCTCGGGCTTGCTGACTCTAGTCCACCTATATAAAGAAAATTTAAAGAAAATCAGGTTATCCTATCCTTATCTCCCCTTCTGTTTGTTGGCCTCTCTTGGACACGTATCTTTTGAGTTCTGACACATGAGCTTCATTGAGACGGCGACTTTTTCCCTCCCCCTCACCTAACACATAGACCGTCGGCGACTTAACCTCGATTATCTCATAAGGTCCTTCGAATTTAGGTGCGAGTTTCGCCGCGAATTTTTTTGAAGCGTCAGACAAGGGGTGGGTTCTACGCAGTACTAAAGTTCCTATCGAAAATCTAACATCTTTCTTGTTCCGATTATATCGTTTCGCTTGAGTCTCCCTTGCAGTATCTATGTGCTTCGCTACTAGATCCCGCAAGGCATCTAACCTCTTGATCCTATCTACCCATGCCTCTGGTCCCATCCTTTCAATCGTCTCAGTGGCCTCTAGGTCTTTCCGTAAACTCTTCACTGGTCGAGGGTGTCGGCCATAATTTAAATACGCGGGTGATACCTTTGTTGTGGCCTGGGTTGCGGTATTAATAGCGTGCCTAATCTCGTGAAGGTATTGATCCCAATTCCTATGATCCTGTCCCACAAATATGGCAATGATAGTTTTTATCGTCCTATTGCTGCGCTCAACCGGATCCGCCTGTGGATGGTAAGGTGGCGTAAACACGTGTTNTTTTTTTTTTTTTGCAATTTGCAATTTGCAATTTGCATACATACGATAAACAGTACAGTGTAACGCGGGTTTCTCAAAGTATGGTACACTAGAAAATCGTATTATTCGCTACTATACGGTCGCTAATCGTTTTTTGTCTTTTTCTTTTTCTTTTCCTTCATTAAACTTACGCGTGTGTCTTTTGACGTTTTCTTTTATTTAACAACCTTTTCTGTAAATCTTGATCCTCGCTTTTTCGACGTGACTCTTTATTTTATTTCTTCTTCAAGCATTCATTTTTTTATTTTTTATTATTATTTTTTTTTTTATTGCGCTCGTACAAGAAATCCATATAGAAAACAAACAACGGGTCGTACAAAAGTAGGGAATGACTGCTTCTTCTTCTTCTTTTTTTAATACTACACTTTATATATATTTCGTTTTAAAATCATCCTCACTCGTAGCCTTTTCCCCATAATTAGTGAAATATCTTCACCACACTTTTCTCGCTGTCATATTTCAAGTATTTTTATTTTTATTTTTTATTTGTTTATTTAATCATCCTGCTCGAACATGATTGGGAAGACGTGCCTACTTTGTACGCGCTATCGGCCAGAAAAAATGCGACTTTGCATCGGGGCTCTTGACAACATTCCGTTGCTTTTTACTATTGCTGAGCAATTATTACCAACAAAAAGTTCTCGTCGTGCTGGCAATACGGGAGATCAAAGAATGTAATATGCACACATAGGTATTTGTATGGTCTCAGAGAGTGCGTGGTGCAGGTACATACACCGCAAACGACAAAAGTACGGAAGAAAAACCAAAATGTACAAGAGCCTGCGCAAACCTGTTGCGAGTCTTACATTTTTCCTGACATCATTCATTGGCCGAGTAGTGTGTAATATAACATACAATTGTTACTTATAATTTAACAATGGTCATCATTATGTCGCACGATTGTTTTTCTATCATAATGTAATTCATTTTTTTTTTTTTTCTTCATTATTATCATTAAGTATTATTATTATTATTATTCGTTAATATTTTGCTTATCTATGAAAATCGTGTCCGAGTAAAAATATTCAACAATCGCCGAGTCGTCGCTTCCCTTTCTAGTGTAATATCGTGCAAAAAGTTAACTTTCAAATGTACTTCCTCGATAATGTATATTATTACGTACTCTTGGAAAATGTTTCGCCATCCAATCTCAATATCGCAGTCGCTGCAAGCCCCCGATCAAGCACTCTCCCACTGATAACTACGATGTAAATATATATACCCAAGTTTTATTGACCACTGAAATTTCATGCACAAGAATTCCTTTGTAAATTTTTTTTTCTTTTTTTTTTTCTTTTTTTTTTTTTTTCAACATTCCACGCGTACTCGAGTGTTACAAAAAGTGTCATTCTAACGAGGAACGCGCTTCGCAGTTCGTAAAAAGAGACACGCACACATACTCGCGCGTGCACCACCGAAACGAGAGCTATACAAGTGAATAATGTATGACACAACAATCGCGCGCGTTCGACTCTCTCTTTCTCTCTCTCTCTGGTACAAATCAAAAAATTTCGCGCCCCTTCGCATTTTGTCAAATCCCAAATGAAATGATACTAGGAATGAAGAAGTTGCCGCGAGCCAATCAGGCACGTCTCTGTGTGTGTTATTTGGCTCTCGATAACCAAACGTGTCGCTATCATAATTATGTGGATTATAGGGTCACGAGTTGGTTGTTCCCGAGTGTACACACGTAGCCGAGCTGGCTGCAACTTCTTGTGTTTTTAATTGACGCGAGCGCTCTCACATTTTAATACATATATGTATACTCTTGTTCTTTCACTCGATGCAATGGTCAATTTTTTTTTTTTTTTTTTTTTCCTCTCAACTTTGTACATTTGTTTGTTCATTATATATTTACATATGCAAAAAAAAGACTTGTATGCGTCCAGGGCGCGATTGGTTACTTCGGTTTTGTGTGTATAAGTACATCTCTTGATAGTCACTGCTCTGCTGCGCTAANAAAAAAAAAAAAAAAAAAAAAAAAAAAAAGAAAAAAAAGACACTAACGAATCAAGAAAAAAAAAAAAAAAAAAAAAAGTTATCTTCAAAGTCTCAAGTTGCGAAAATACATTACAACGATTTTCGTGTTTGCCCTGGAAGCGAGAGCGAAACACACGATTTCCCCGTCATTTCTCAGAAAAACGTTTAGACGTAGCGAGTGTGCGGTTCCTATATTTCGGGCGATGCTCGTTTTCATCATGGGTAAATGAAACCAACGAAAAAAGCCCTCACTTAAAGTCTAGCGTTAAACTAAAGTGTGTCTCTGTGTGTACGTGTGTTTTGGTTTTAAAATTCATTTTTCTTTCTGTATCACTTTTTTTCTCTTTTGCCGAACGAAGAGATTACAATTATTGTACACAATTTTTATTTTATTTCTTTTTTTTGATTGGCGCTGTTTTCTCCTCTTGTCTCTCTCTCTCTCTCTCTCAATCTTGCAGCCGGTCGATATCGACAATAAATTTTCGTTCATCGCAAGGGACTGTCTGTGTTTTCATGGGAAAGAACCGGGTATTTGCATATCCTTTTTTTTTCATTTTTCTTTTCATCCCAATTCTCAGTTTGTTCTCGTTTCGGTTCGTACATAGTTTTTTTTTCCCATTATAGTTTCACAGAAAAAAATCGGAAAGCACTCACGAGTCTAGCGTTAAACTGAAAATGAACACTATTTTCCTAAAAGTTTTATGTATATTTGTTTTTTTTTTATTTTTTTTTTTTTACTCGAGTTTCATATTTCTTTTTTTTTTTCTCAAAGCGGAAATCGTATAGTCGTCGAATGAAAAGTTCTCAGAGTGCAGCTACATTACGTATGCATGATGTATTATATGTATGTATATATATGTATATATACTACAACTTGTCGACATCGACAAATTTTTGGGAACAATATTCCAGCTTACAATCGTGTCTTCCTCGTTGACGTGTAACTATAATTACTTGAAGGTTGTTCATCTTATTTTATTCGTACATTTTTTTTTTTTTTTTCTCAATAAAGCCATCAACTACGATATACGTAAAAAAATGTTGGGAGTAAGAGAGGGGGGTCGGAGATATGCAAATAATAAAATTAACGAAACGAGATACAAAGCAACGCGTGTACGTCACTACTATTTCGGCCGAAGATTCGTGTATCCGAGATTCCGAGACCGAGTTCGTTATGACTTGTGCTTATTTGTTGTTTTTTTTAATTTAAAAAATATATATATTTATGTATGTATAACTTAATGAAAAAACGCAATATATATATAAAAGATAGATATTTTGTACATTAAAAGATGCTTACTTTCTCAATCATACGCTTTTCTTTTATTCGTAATATTAATAATAGTTATATGTAATATATAACAATATATAATGTAATATGTACACATATACATAATGTACAGAAAACCCAATAACGATGGGTTCGTCATACTTAATTGTATGATATAATACAAGAGTATGTAATGTTTAAAAAAAAAGGAAAGTTAATCAATGAAAGAAAAAAAAATTAAAATTAAAAGTATTAATCCGAATCGCCCTTCGAAGTTAAAACAACGTGATTCGGGGGTGGCATCGAAACGTGCATCAATCACATAGAAATGCTAGTTGAAAGAAAGGGAAAAGTAAAAAAAAAAAAAGATAAACCAAGTTTTAAACAATCGCAATAAAAATAGCGAAAAAAAGTTTTTTCTTTGCAAAATCGTTAGTGCGCCTTTTCACCTTCAATGGCCTCAAAGTGCGCACCATTACAAATACACAATAAAGATAGAGGCGATCGAGCCTAAGTACAAACCCAAAAATGGGCAAAAATTGTTGAGTAACGCTTTTCTCTTGTTACACACATATTACTTATACATACATAATCGCGTCACTCGCGCGACTGTCGCTTTTCCCTTTCTCACGCACAATGATTTTTTTTCTGCATCTGTGTCCTTTTTTTTCGTTTTTTTGTTATTTTTTTGTTATTTTTTTTTTTTTT